GCAAAACCATTGAGAAATTAACCCAAACCCAAGAAGCCTTAAAAAAACAAAGCCAAGAACAAGCAGCTCACTGACAAAAAAAAGCTGACCAGTGAAAAGAGGAAAAAACCAACCTAGAAAGCCAAATCACGGCAAAAGACCAGCAAATCCAAGCCAAAAATCAAGCTTATGAGGATTTAGCCACCCAACACCAAAATCTTAGCCAAAACTACGAGCAATTAGCCCATGAGAAGCAAGAAACCAACCAAGCCTTAACCCAAAGCCAAGCAGAATATAACCAAGCCCAACAAGAAATCAAAAACCTTACTCAGCAACTCCAAGCCCACCAAACCAAAATCCACGAACTAGAAGCTTGAAGCCAAGGACAACATAACCGAATTACCGAACTAGAAGCCCAAGAACAAACTCTCCGGCAAGAAAACCAGCAAAAAGAAGCCGACCACCAACTAGCCCAAAATGAAATCAAAAACTTAAACCAACAAATCAACCAAGCCAACCAAAAAGACAGCCAACTAACCAAGCAAAAAGCAGTCTTAGAACAATTACTAGCTAACCGAGAAGCCAGATTAAATGAACTAGGAGGAGAGGAGTAATATGCCAATTTGTGGAAACTGCCAACAAACTAAGCTAAAATTAAGCAGCTCGGGTTTTTGCTTAGTTTGCTTAAAGGAAATTCAGAAGAAATTAGGAGAGAAAGACCGTGAATTAACCCAGGTTCAAGGAAAAGTTAGCCAATTACAATCCCAACTCACCAGCAAAAACCAAGAACTGACCCAAGCCCAAATCAGCCTCACCAACACTCTTCAATCCCTCCAAGATTTACAGCAAGAAAACCAGAACTTAAAGCAAAAAATCACCACCCTCGAAAACCAAAACAAAACCCAAGCCGAAACCTTGAAAAACACCGAAAAAGAACTGACCCAACTCCAAACCCAATACCAAAACCACCTAACCCAAGAAAAAGCCCAACTCACCAAAGAAATCCAACTAATCAAGGAGGTAATCCAATAATGAATAACTGAAACGGCACAATCAGCAAAGAAATGTTCGACTTCTCCCAAATGGCTACCTCTTACGACACCTTCGCCAACCTGACCAAGAAATATTTAACTAATTGCTTAATTGGTTCAGCCCACTTAACCGGAGAAGGAACTTTAACTGAACACTTTGACGACCTCATGGAAGAAGTCATCACCCGGGGAGAAATTGCTTTAATTGAAGTAGCCAGTAATAAATACCTGGCTACCCCTAAACTCACCCAACAAACCCTCTTGAAAGAGAAAGTCCCCGGAGAGAACGGCAAAGCCATTGAACCTATTACCTCTTACGAATTCACTTTGCTCGATAACTCCAATCTCACTTACCAAAGTAAAGACCTAACCAAGTGAGTAATCTTTAAATTCAACAACCAAGGAACCCCTCCCCTCACCGGCTTAGACTTTTGAACCAAACGACTAGTCAACATTCTCACCCAAATGGAAAAAGAAATGTTTATGAACGAAAAAAGGCTAATTTTCCTTTCCTCCGAAAGCCCAGATGAAATAGATGTTGCCAAGTGAATTAAATCTTTCACCAACGGCATAATCACTATTTTTGGCTTTGATAAGAGTGCCAACCCGGATTCTAAAGCTATCAGTGAAGGGAAGCAAGGCATTAACCCTCAGGCTGTGAAGTTCCAAATCTACGAACCCAAAGAATTCCAAGAGGAGAAGTATCGTAATCAGTTTGCTTTTGTGTGAACGAATATGGAAAGAGCTTATGGGATAAGGCATGATACTCTGGAAAACAAAGAGGAGAGAGCCAGTGTCAGTGAAGTGTTTTCTAGCCAAGCCAACTTTGATGCCCAAGAAAAGAAAATTTACCGGTTATTGTGAAAGTCTATCCGAGAATACAACAGGATCTTTGAAGAAGGCAAAGGGAGCTATCAGTTTAAGTTTGGGAGGATTGGGGGTTAATATGAATATTAATTGCTGTCATGTGGCATTAGCCTTGGTTGTCATTATTTTGCCCTTAGTGGCTCTGCTTACTAACCGAACCCTCAAAGCCGAAGCCCGAGTGACCAAACTAGAAAAAAAGAACGGCAAAGAGCAAAAGCAAATCAACGAACTTAAACTAGAAGTAGCCAAATTGAAAAACCGAGGAGGGAAACATGACTAAACCAGACTTCCAAAAAGAACTCCTTGAAAAAGTAAAGCAAGGTATCAAACCAAGCCAACTAAAAAAGCCGCGGAAAGCAAGCCAAGCCTCAACCCCAGCTTCTAGTCCTCCGGTTAGTCCAATTATTGTGCCCATTGACAAGAAAACCAAGCCAAACATTACAAACCGGGACAAAAGCCCCAGCAAAGCCATAGACGAAACCCTAATAAACCAACTCCAAGAACAAGTGAACTTTTGAAGCCAAACAGCCCAAACCCACCTTACTAACCTCCAAAGAGCCACAGCCCAATTAGACCAAGCCCAAGAGCAAATCAAAGAACTCCAAAACCAACCAAACCAACTTAGCCAAGAAATAGCCACAGCCTTAAAGGAAGCTAACCAAAAAATCAGGGAGCAAGAGAAAATCATTGAAGATTTACAAAACCAAAATAAAACCCCAACCAATACCAAGCCCCAACTCTTCACCTGCTCCCACTGCCAGCAAGAATGAAGCCAAGAATTTTTAAGACTAATCAACTCCCCAGGTCAAAAAACTTGTGCCGATTGCCTCAATAACATGCTCGAACTAACCAAAAAAGCCACCGGTAAAGAAATTGTTATTGAAGAACAACCCCAAGCCAAGCCTGAACCCCTTAAACCCTGCCAATTTTGCTCGAAACCTTACCCCCAATCCCACTTAAAACCAAGACACATTAAAAACCTCCCTAACAAAGACCCGAGAGAACTCACCTTAATCTGCCAAGATTGCTTAACTTACCGAGCCCTGAAAGCCGACTATTATTGCCCTCTCACTTCCGAAGGCAGAGACACCTACGAAGGAGCAGAATTTGATTGCTACTGCCCCACTAACGAAAGGAGAAACTACTAATGTTAACCCAAGAACTCGACCTCTACCAAAAAACCATCTACCAGAAATTCCCCACCTTTGCCGAATTCCACCACGAAGCCTTAAACGAAATGGAAAGAATTCTCCAATCCTCCGAAGACGAAACTAACTTTTCTTTTTATGCTTATTGTGTTTACGATAGGTGAAAGCTCAATCCTTATCTAAACCAGCCAGAAGTCTTTTTTAGCAAACTTTGGTCGGGCATGGCTAGCAAGTTCTTTACTTTTAAAAAAAGGGAAAGGCTTTGGAGTAATATCTTCGAGCATCTTAAATTAGAAATGAGTAAGCTCATCGACATCAAAACCACCGAATACACCCGAGACGACCGAACTAAATACACCGATGCTAACAAATCCCTCACCGGAGATTGAGACCGAACGACTACCCACAACAATTTCGAAAGAGGAGACCACCGAGAAAGCCAAAGGATAACTAATAAAGAAAAACCTTACTCAACCATTGACCTGCTCCACGGAGACTATGGACATATCCAAGATAGAGCTGACTGATTAGGAGTAGAAGCCACCGTGGACACAGGCTACCTTGGCACCGAAAAAGACCAAGACGGTAATCCAGTCTTGGACGAGGAAGGCAAACCAGTCAAAACTATTAACCCTAACTGAAATAAGAAAACTTCTCGGGGCAGAAACAAAGATACTTCCCACAAAGCCGACAAAGCCAAAGAGGACAGCAAAGAAACTGACCATGGCACGATTGATAAGACTATCACTAGCCAAGAACAACCTGTCTTTTACCAACAGCTAGCCCGAATTATGCCTTCTTTCTCCCTCGTGGAAACCCGAATGGAAGACTTAACCGATTTTAGCCATTTATTTGATAATGTGTTTGTGCCCCAAGGAGAATTACGTTGGAACCCCCAGACTTTCCAACTCGACTATCTCACCCGAACCCAATTGATTGAAGAGCAAGCCCCTGAGAAAAAACGAGAAAAGCCAACCAAAGACCCTGACCAAGATTTGTCTTTGGACGAATGAAATGAGCTATACCAAGAGCAAGAAGTTCCTTTGATGCCAACCTGATACTTGGAAAGGTTGTATCGATATAAAAAACGAATAGCCAAGAAACCTAACCCCGATGAAACTGACCAAGCTCGGTTAGAGTTATGTGAAACTTTGTTGGATACTTTTTACCGAGAACCTTATTGACCTCCTTTGAGTGAGTTTGAAAAGATAATGGGCACTCCTCCTGATTGGGAAGGGAGAGTGATTGGCTTTAAGGAGTTTAAGTCTACTTGGTATGAAGCTTTACAAACTGCTGAACATTTTCGCAAGCAAGGGGTTAGATTACCCCAAATCTTTTATGTCTTACTCGGCAAACCCGGAGTGGGTAAATCAGAAATTAGCCAAAGGTTAGCCCAAGCTTTAAAGAGACCCATTCAAATCATTAATGTCGGAGGCATGGACGACGGAGGAGAGTTGGAAGGCAAGAGAGCTACTTTACAATCAGCTAACTATGGCAAGATGATGGAAGCCTTTGCTGAACGTTCCTTTTTAGCCGAAATCACCATTCAAGACCTGGAAAGAGAAATCCAAGAAATTAAAACCCGTAAAGAAACTATCAACCCAGGCACAGATAACCAAAAAGTAATCACTATTGACCGGAAGCCCCAAACCCTCACCGAATGAGAAGAAGAAAGAATTGAAAAACTCCAAGAGGAAATCCAAGAATGAAAAGAAGACAACCAAAAAAGACAAAGCCAAGGCAAAGAACCCCGTAAAACCAAGAAAAAAGCTTACCGGAGCCGAAGCCCCGTAATCTTATTAGACGAGTTTGAAAAGGCTTCTCGGGAAGATATCTTAAATGTGATTGGGAAAATAACTGACCGAGAGCTAAATTATACTTTCTTGGATAAGTATTTTAATTTCAACCTTGATATTTCCCAAGCCATTATCCTGCTCACAGCCAACTATCTCGAAAAAGTTCCCCAGTTTGTCCAAGACCGAGGGGAACCAGTGAATATTGAGTTATTATCCTATGCCCAAAGGAAAAGGATACTAGACATTATCTCGACTATCTATTGCCGAACTTACGGGATAGCCCACTGCCGAAATAAAATCAGTGAAAGGTTTTTGGAGATGTGTATCACGGAAACTTGGGGTATTCGGGGAGGGATGAATAATTTACAGAAAGTGATGTTGTTTTTGGTGGGTTTGGAGGTGAAAGGGATTGCTAACCAATTAACCGACCTTGCTAACTTTGCCGAGATTGAAGAGACCCCAGCCGAAGACTATCTGAAAAAAGAAAGTGGAGTAATCAAACTAACCTATGAGCTAGGTGGTGAAAAAAGACACTTAACCCTCACTAAAAGGATTGGCATCGAACCCCGAACCATTAAAGAAGACGACCGAGAAATAATCGTTAAGGAAATCATTACTGGCAAAGACATTGAAACCAATAAGCCTTTTGTGGCAGACTGACCCGAAGAATATTGGTGAGGAGGAGAACCCATAAGGGAGGTATAATTATGAGAATATATACAAAATGCCCATGCTGTGGACGAACTATTTTCCTAATCATGGAAATGGAGTTGGGGAGTAGTTTTGGTTTGACTTGCCAACAGCAAAAGAGTGAGGATTGAGAGTGTTTGAATAACTTCTTAACTTGCCTACAGAGTAGCCAAGATGGAAGGGTTTATTTGGGAGTAAGTGAGAAGGAAGAAACCAAAATCCTCGAAGAGCATAAAGAATTAATCCTAAACTGAACCGAGAAAGGATATAAAAAGCCCGAACCCAAGAAAAGCAGTAATAATAATCAAAATAACCAAGATTGAAGCCATATCAGCTCTAACTTCCAAGGAACAGAAGGAAACAACTGAAAAGCAAGGTGAATTAAAGCTGGTTTCACTTACCAACAAACCAAAGAATGAATGGATATTGGTTTAGGGGTGATTGATTTTGGTTTTGCTCAGTGACTAAAGAATACCAAAAGGAAAAGTCCTAGTTGAGTGTTGAACCATGGCAATATGGAGCAATTAAAGCAAGAATACGAAAGTGAACAAACTTATGAAATTTAGAGGTATAGTATGATAGAAAAGAAAGTTTTACAGAAGATAAATGAGAATAAAATCACTGTTAAGGATATATTTACTCGTAGTAAACATTGAGAAAAGCCCGAAAAAGCTATTATTAAAGACGGCAAACCCACCGGAAAAAAAGAATTAAACGAAGATTACCGAAACTTAGTTTTCTTTACCAACTGAAAATGATGACAAAAAGATTATAAATTCTTGCCCACTCCTGATAAATTCGTTGAAATAAAAAAAGATTTCTTGGAAAATAATTGAAGCAGTTTAGAGAATGTCCCTCATTATATACTTAGAAGCAAAAATAATCAACTGACTATTATCTTCCAAAATAGAAAGCAGTTAGATTTTGCCGACCCCCGAATTGTGCTTTTCTATGGTCGAAATTCTTTCAGTGAAGATACCAAAAAAAGAAATGAAAAAGCCGGTAGGAAAGGAGAAGAATATCCTTCTTTATATTGAATTATCGAGTGAGATTATATTGATACTAGAACTTTACTTTGTCAGCTTACTGCTGTAAAAGACCCCATTTGAAGTAATTATGGAGATATGATGAATAGCAAAGGAACAGCATATATCACCAGCAGCCAAATAAACAATGAGCATACTGAACATTCTGACGATGCCGACAATCAAAGCCCTTCCAGTTGTCCAGCTTGTGATAATTGTTATGACTTCTGCTCCGACTTACGAAACAAGAGGGCTAATCCCCCAGGTCGTAGCACTCCCCAAATAGCCAAATGACAACCTGATTTTAATTTACTTTACACCGAAAATTCTAATCGAAACATAGGAAACCTTACTATTGCTACCGACACAGGAGAGGGAGTGATTACAGTGCCTAATAATTTACACTTAGCAAAGTTTACAGGAAATATAATCGGTGAAGTTTTAGCCAGTGATAAACCTGTCCTGCTTTTTCTAGTCGATAAAGACCACCACGGAACACCAGTAGGAAGACCCAAAAGAGAAGTTTTTGAAGAAGAATTGCCCGAGTGTTATAACGAAAATCCTCATTTATTAAATCATTCAGCAGTTCACTTTTTCTTTCAGAAGAAATTAACTACAGGAGGTAATTTAAGACATTTGGATGTCCGAAGAAGAAACGGCAGATTGGTTCTTGTTTACGAAATTATCACCAGAAGCAGTGTATCCGGAATATTATATCAATTTAGGTCGGGAGAAATCTTTGGTCGGTGAGAATTGAAAGTTAGAGGTAGCAACCAAAACACCAGTTCTTTAAACGATATGATTGATGGTTTTTTTGGTTCAGCTGGGAAAAAATTCAGTGAAGGAATTAACTTGCCTAATCAAAGTGGTTCAGGGCTAGCAGCCATTAGTGGCTTTTTTCGGCTAGTGAAAGCAGCCGTTATGGGCTGGGTAAAAAAGCAGGTAGGTAGTAGTATCAACGAAGTTATTACTTGACCAAAAATGGAAGAGTTGATGGGAGTGAAAGAAAAGAAAGAGCAAGGCAAAGATAAACCAGAAAACGAACAACAAACTGGGAGAAAGGCAAAAAGCACTAATAAAGTTGTTTCGGAAAGAATTGTTGAGCCTGCTATCTTTTACAGCAATACAGTTGACTTTAGTTATGACTTTTGGGAGTTTGCTAATCGGTGTGTAGCTAATCCATTCATGATTAGATTTGAACATTCGGAAACCCTTTATAATAATCTGATAAACAACAACGATAAATCACCTATCCAAAATATTCAGTGTCGATTTAGTGCTTTTAAGCAAGCAGTAAAAGTAGGATATTGGCAAGGAAAAGTCGATTTATTCTTTGACATTGATAATATCCTATCTGATACTTGTAAGAGTGGCACATTTTTTTATGATGATTTAGAACAATTATTCCAGCCATGAAGGCCTAAATATAAAACTTTACAATCTTTCACTCATGGGGACACCTTTAATACAGGAGTAGCCCAAGGACAAGAAGATGTGGATGTTATCACTCATACTCACACCGAAACCGAAGAATTATTAAATGCTGATATGACGAATGCTGATTATGGGATTGAGGATTACATTGGCTCCCAGGACGCGAATATTTGACGAGAAATGGGACATAGAGTTCATGCCGAGAATTGAGGTAGTGGGGGTCGGGATTGTCTAGGGTGTTTATGTGTAGGTGGTTCTCACGACAACCCTAACTATTCTTTTAGAAAAGAGTATAATTTCACTGGTGGAGGAACTTTGGTGTTGAAAACCCGAGGCAGTGGAGTTCAAGAATGTGAAATACCCGACCAAGGAGGAAAAGTGGTCTTTGAAGCAAAGGGAAGCAGTGGAACAATTACTTTGGAGACTACAACAACCACTGAAGAGAAAAAATATCGTTTTAAGCACGAAAGAATTGAAGCTGAAAGGGAAAAAGATTACGAAGCAAAAGAATATGATGAGCCAGAAATTCCCGATGACAATACTGCTTTTAGTTCGAATATCGGAGAAACTGACCCCGAAGCTTTGGAGAAATTAAAAGAATTCGACCAAGAACACGAGCAAAAAGATTGAGAAGACAAAGAAATTGACATTAAAGAAAATCAGGGAGAAGTCGAAAAAGATTTTGAAAAAGAGCTAGAAAAGGAGAAAGAAAGAGAAAAAGAACGGGACGCTGAAAGAGAATTAGAAAGAGAACTCGAACGAGAGAAAGAACGGGAACGAGAGCAAGAAAGAGAAGCCGAGAAAGAAAAACAACGAGAACGAGAAACCCAAATCGAAAGGGAAAAACGACAGAGAGACCAACAATGGGAACAAGACAAAAAAGACCAAGAAAGAAAAGAAAGAGAAGCAAGAACCCGAGAAAGAGAAGCCAAAAAACGAGAACAAAGGCAAAAAGACAAGGAGAAACGGGAAAAGGAAAAAAAAGAACGAGAGTAAAATATTTGCTTATTTTTTATCAAATTTCCCTATTCGATAACAATCCATTAAACCGATTACTTGTGGTTCTTCTTCATGAGCAACGCACCAAACTAACCGATAAGCCTTGCCTTTCTCGTTATACAATGGTGAATGAGCATAATAATTCATTGGTGATATTTCTTTTCGTCAGGTTCCACTGTTTCACCGTCCAACTGTTTAAGCAAGTAGATAATTAATTCATCAGTGATACCTTCATTAGGATGCTTAACAGTAGCAATTAAGGGATTGATTTCTACCTTGACAAACCTTTGCTTATTAATTGTTAGGTTAATCTTGTAAGGTCTTAAATTAGCAGGCTTTTGGGGAAGTTTGACCATAAGGAATGTTGAATTTTACTTGACAGGGAACGTGTAAATTGTTAGCATAACTTGCTAACTCATCCAAAGTAAACTTATCAATGTGGCTATACAAGATATATTCAGCTTTGAGAGTAGTTATTCCTAATTGTTTAGCAATGTCTTTGCTGTTTAGATTGCTATTTTGTTTATAACGGAGGATACTTTTACAGAGTTTATATTTGGCTCTATCCAAATCAGTAGCCCAAGGAGTCAAACCTTGATTTACCCGGTGATAATTTGGGTCGGCAAATCTTTTAAGAACCCTTTGCATTTCTGTTTTCGGAGGAAAAGTAAATTGTTTTTGATTTAGTTCTTTTTTCATAAGTATGATATGTATTGTTCTCTTTAGTTAAATTTTTATTGAGTAGTAGATCAAGAATTAAATTAAGATACTAAAATTATAAATACTATGAGTTCATTCGGAAAATGTATTAAATGTGAAAAAGTAATTGGAGAAAAGCTCCACGACCAATTTTATCGAGTAGGTTATATCGGAAGTGGTGGAGACAATTATTGCCCTACTTGCTACGAAGCAAATAAAGACCAATTTAAAGATAAGGAAATATTTAAGTTTGTAAAAGACAAAGATAAAGATGGTGTGTATCTTGATAGATGAACTCATCAGCAAATTCAGTGAATTTATCACTGTTTAGATTGTGGTGAAAAGTTTGCCACCGAAACAGAGCAAAAGAATTTATATAGTCCTTTGACTTCTTGTCGGCAACATAAAGATTTAAGTTCTAATGTTAATAACTCGGGAGAGGGAGAAGAGACCAATGTCGACAATCAAATCAAATCAAATCAAATCAAATCAAATCAAATCAAATCAAATCAAATCAATCTGTCGGGGGTGATAAGAAAACTAATTATTTACCTTGAATTCTAGGAGGAGTGGGAACAATAGGATTAATTGGAGTGGTGGTTTATTTTATTACTCGGAAAGGAGAGAATAAGTAATGGTTAATTGAGAAGGTATTCACAAGGATTTTGCTGAAAGAGATTATTCAACAAACTATCCTTATAAAACCTACCAACAACACTGAGAAGAAGCAGGCTTAACTTACCAAGATGCCCAAGAATGAATAAAAACAGTCTTAACTATTAAAGATTATGAATTTGTTGCTTATTTAAGGGAAAACAATTATACCCCAACCACAGCTTTTCAAGAAAAAAGTCTTGCTCAACACTGGTTAGATTGAAAACACCCCTTAGAACAAAGAAAAGAAACTAACCGATTAAATATCAGTGGAAAAAACCTCCAAGGTTCCTTAAAATTAGAAAATTTTATTAATCTTCAAATATTAAATTGCTCAAATAATCAACTCACCCAATTAGATTTAAGCTCTTGCCTTCATCTAAAAAAACTTTATTGTCACGATAATTTTTTAACTAGTTTAGATTTAAGCCAAAACAAACAATTAGAAAAATTAATCGTCAGAGATAATAATTTTTCTCCTCAAAATTTGTCTTTTTTAAGCCATTTGGTTAATTTACAAGATTTATACCTAGGAAATTTATACTCATATGGAAATAAATATAATCGTTTTAATGGTTCGTTGGAACCTTTAAAAAACATGAGCAGGTTAAATTTGCTTGATATTAGCAATACTGACATCGACAGTGGTTTAGAATATCTGCCTGATAGAGTCAATGATTTTCGTTGTTTGGCAAATATAAAAAAAGATGCCAGATGTCAAGCCATTATTGACCTTTTAGCTAACGAACTTTTAGCTAAAGAATGCTGAGGTTTTTCCCAAAAACTTAGAAAATATAAACAAGTAAGATATCAAGCTCGTCAACTCCTCAAAGCTGACTTTCTTCAAGCCAAAGACCAACAAATTCAAAAATTAGAAGAGGAACTTCAACTAGAAAGAGAAACTAATCAAGAAAGTGCTGAAATTATGGATGACTTTTACCGAATGGCTCCTCCCCGAGAAGATTTAGCTCTAAAAAACATTTTAGAAAAGATTAGCGAAGATTATTTAGAACTTAGCTTAGAGAATAGGGAATTAAAGAAAGAAAATGAAAAATTACGTGAAAATTTAGAGTTAATAAAAGAATTAGCCGAAGCAAAAATTGATGAGCAACAAACTCAGATTAGTCAGCAAAGTCAGCAACTTCAAGCCAAAATTCAAGAAGTTCCTAAAAAATTTAGTTTCTTTGGCAAGTTCAAGAAAAATAATTAAATGCTTGATTTTTGTTCTTTTCAAACCACTCAGCAACAAGCCCAAATAATCCACAATCCACCAAAAAACAACTAACCCCTAAACCAACCACAAAAACTATTTACTCAAATATTCTGCTAGATTGCTTGACTTTTCCTTTGCCGAGG